AACTTTCCCCCACGCCCAAGACTGAAGGCCCGTCGGCGACTGCGCGTGGCCGAGAATCTTCAGAAAAAGGTCGGCTCGACACGGCCGTGGCCGTGACCCTCGCAACCGCTCCTCGTGACCGCGCCACAGCGGCCGTGACCCCCGTGGCCGATCCGCGCCGTCCCGCCGGGGCCGTGGCGGCGACCCCCCCGAGACCCGAAGCCGTACACAACATTTTTGTTGGTCTGCGGGTCGAGAGCGGGCCTTTTCCGGTTCAGAGCTCGGCGGGGCGCGCAAAGCACTAATTGGGGAGACAGGACGCGGGCGGGTGGGGCCTCAGGCGGCCGGAGGGTGCGGGGTGCAGGCGGTGCCGAAGAGCTTGCACAGGAAAAGGTACGCCTTGGACAGGAGCCGGAGGCGAAGTCCCGGGGGGAGAAAACCGTACACAACATGCGACACCGAAGAAGAGCAAGGCTGGTGCCGTACGCCATCAGACATGGCGCCCAACGGCGCGCCCGATCGAGCAGAGTGGTCGCTGCTGGGCGGTCGCCATCCCAATCCCCACACGGCGCCATTGGGCGCTATCGCCATTGGGCGCTATCGGTCGCTTCTGGCCGCTGTCTGGACGCCGTTCGGCGCGATTGGGCGCTGTCGGGCGCTACGCCGCTATATTCCTTCAACCCAAAGCAAGCGGCAGCTCCCGTGACTTGCTATCTGCTACACACCCTAGCGTTCTGCGGTCCTGCTCACGCTTGGCCGATCCGCGACTGCCCCCCGGGGCCCGCGAGACGGCGTACGACGCCCGGCGCGAGAAGACGCACCCGGCGCCCCGTCTCCTCCGACTCCCGTCCCCCCGAAAGGGGGGAGGAGTGGGATGATGATGAGGAGGAGTAGGAGGAGGAGGAGGAGGAGGAGGAGGAGAGGAGGAGGAGGAGGAGGAGGAGGAGGAGGAGGAGCCCCCTCCGGCGGCGCCTGCGGCCAGGCCTGCGTCGCAGGCGCCGCTGCCGATTTCGGGCCAGCGCGGGCCGGCGACGAGCACTCGCCGCGCGACTTGGGCGACGCGGACGGCGCGCTGCCCGCGCCGCAGCTGGGCCGGCGCAGCGGGCTGCCTCTGCCGCGGGCCCCGGGCGAGCCGCTGGCGACCCGCTGCCCCGGGCTGGCGTCTCCGCACCTCGGGCCGCCGCCGCCGTCGCTGTCGCCGTCGGCGTCGGCGCCGTTGCCGCCGCCGCACCTGACAGACTGCTGGGAGGCAGCTGCTGGGAGGACTTCGTCGGAAAAATTGAAAAGGATTTTGGCCGCATCGGGGGCTGTTGTTGCGCCGGAGTGGACCTCGCATTAAGCGGGATCTGGCCGGATCAGTCCGGATTCAGCGGGATCCAAGCGGACTAAGCGGGATTGAGCCGGATGCCGGGAATTCGGACCAGGGCAACCCCCAGGTGAGGGCAGAGAGAAAATCTCCACACTCATCTCCGCGTGAAGATCTTCAACGCGATCCGCCGACCCTGTCGGCGTGCGTGAGGGGGAATTCTGGGTCCGTCGTCCCTGGGTGGTCCTCGGAGACGATCTTTTCTTCGATTTGCTCTTCCATTCCCAGACTGTCTCTGCCGAGGCCCTCTGTGGCACGCCAAGCTCGCCAACTCGAAGCGACTGAACTGAGCTAGGTCGCAATCGCAGTCGTAACTGGACCGCCGAAGGGAAGCCCCTTCCCTCTGATCCCTTCCCCATCCGAAAGGGGGGGGGACCCGGCCCAAAATGCACTCCCCCCTTCTTTTCTGGGGGGCGCCTGCGGCAATTCAATTTCAAGATTATCCACGAGGAGCCCAGGATGGCCCTGGAGTCGCCCAAAGATCGTCTAAGCCCGACCAACATGGCCTCCAGATAGGCAACAGCAATTGACGTCTCATAGGTTTTGGATATACTTTCGCGTTTCTCCCTGTTGACTTCCCGACGCTCCGATACAGCCCACGAGGCCCGAAATGATGCCCCAAAGCTGCCTGCGAGACAATCCAGAGGGCCCCAACGGTCCAGAAGGGCCAAACGTGCCAAGAACCAACGCGGCACAGTCCAAACAGCCTCCAAGACGGCCCTGAAGGGCCGCAAAATTGCTCACAGAAAAACCCAAGAAGGCTCCCAGAAAACCCGAAGGGCATATTGATCATGCCGTTCATAAGTGTTGGCATTATTGCCCTTTCCGACTCCGAACAGCCTCACAGTGTCGAGAACGCCTCTACTGCTTCGCCCAGTCAACCCAAGAAGCCGCGAGAGTGCCCTCATGCAGCTCCCACACGGTTCAACATTAACTTCATGACGGCTAACTCGGTCCAGGATGCATTCCGAAACGACTAATACCGCTTGCAAGAGACAACCAACTTGCGTCCAAAATTGCCAAGATGGCGATGTCTTACAATACGACCGCACGAGTGCTCGGAGATGGTCCGACGTAGCCTCATGATGCAGCCATGAGCCCTGAGAGACGTGCGATGACCACAAAGGCCCCCAAACATCTCCTCCTCATGATCAATATTCTCCTCTTCTTTCTCCTCCTCCTCCTCCTCCGCCTCCTCCTCCTCCTTGGTAACCTCCTCGTTCCCTTCCTCCGTCTCGCTGGATTATGGTTCGAATGCTCTGGGTATCACGGAGACCTCTGGCAGCTCGCTCGGGAACCTCGGGCGAGCCTGTCAGCCTTCCAGAGCACCCTCGAACACCTCCCGCATCATAGGGGCCTTCCAGGGTCGGCAGCACCAGCCGTAAGGCCTCTCCAATAACATGTCCGAAGAAGCCCGCAGACGATCTGCTTGTATACGCGCCCTCGACGACATCTCAAGCGGCGCCTCGCCCCTCGAAAGCATCCCGGGCAATCTCCGAGGAAACCTGCAGCCTTGGAACACTCTCCCAGGGAACCTCCGGCCCTGGAGTAATGCCCTGGGACCCCCCCCCATCGCCTTCCACGAACCTCCGGTGCTCGCTTCTGCACCCAAACAAAAAACGCGGGAGCGGCGCGCGGAAGGGCGGGGAAGGCGGGAGCGGAGGGAGGGGCGGCCGACGGGCTAGCTATCGGAGAGACGGAATACTCGGGTTCGGGGGGACTCGGGTCGGCCTGACGGGGCCATCATGAAAATGACGAGGCCCAATCTGAAGCCTGACGCGAGCTCCCGCTGCACACATCCCACGAGCACTGGGCCGTCAAAATCCAGGCGGGGTCTCGTCGAAGAGCGACGGCGAGCCCGAGTTCCGGCCCGCTTGCGTCTCACGTTGCCCCGAAGCTGGCCGGAGGCGGAGGCGCGAGGAGGCCACGGCCGCGCGGGCAGAGCCGGCGGGGACCGCCCGCGCACGCCAGCCAAAGGGGGACGGGGCGGCCCAGGGGGGCCCACAGAGCAGGCGAGGACACGCGGAAGGGCGGGGGAGGAGGGGACGGCGGTGGGGGGGAGGAGGACGAGGGAGGGGCCCACTGGCAGGAGGCGAAATCACGAGGAGGCCACGGCCGCGCGGGCAGCGCCGGCGGGCACCGCGAGCGCACGCTAGCAAAAGTGGGCGGGGCGGCCGCGGGGGGCCAGCAGAGGAGGCGAGGGCGCGCGGAAGGGCGAGGGAGAGGGGGGGGGGGCAGCGGAGGGGCGGAGGGCGGCCGAGAAGGCCATAGCTGGCAGGAGGCGTGAAAGCGCGAGGAGGCCGCGGCCGCGCGGGCAGCGCCGGTGGGGGCCGCCCGTGCTTCACGCAGGCCACAGGGGGCGGGGAGGCCGAGGGGGGCCTGCAGAGGACCACGGGGCGATGGTAAACAGGGCGGTGGCTAAGGGGCCTCTTCAAGCGAGGACGGGGTGACAGGGCATCTTTTTTGCCGCGCACACAGTGCGTGATACATCGGGGCGACGAAACGTCGACACATCATCACAAACTCCAGGCGAAGGGAGGGGGGCCCCTCGCACTCTGCACGCGGCAAATCAGTCTCTTGAAAACACAACGGAAAACGTACCCTCAGCTACCGGCCCGTGTATTGAGCAGGGACCGACCGTCCCGGCATTCCTGCTGTCCTACCACAACATGTTCTTAGAACCCGAAAACGTTCTAAACACATAGTTAAAGCAATGTCCCTAGACCATCCGCCCGACGTGCTAGAACAAGACCGCCCCGGCAAGACACGTGCTGAGAGCACTGCGTGGAAGCCACACAACAAATCCCATAACATCGCCTGGTGGGCCGATAGGCCCGCCAGGACCTTAGTGGGCCCTGGAAACGACAGGGACGTGTTTTTTACCGGTTCCGTTTTGCCGTTTTTTTGCAGGTTCCGACGCCGTTGTTTTACCGGTTCCGTCGCCGTTTTTTGACCGGTTCCAGCTCCGGTTCCAATCCTGGAGCCGTTTTTTTGCTGTTTCTGGTCGCCGTTTTTGTTGCCGTCTCCATTTCCAAGGGACATGTGTTTGGAAACGGTGGAAAAACGGCCCTGCCGTTTCCGGGGCCCACAAAGGCCAGGACGCTCCGCCACTGCTTGCGTGTGCCAACGCCACATCGGCAGGGGCTCGCTGCGGGCGGGCCCGGCTGCGGGCCGCCGCCGGCGTGCGGCGCACCGCGCGCGGGGCGCACCCAGGCGCTCCTGCTGCGGGTGCGCGGCCGGGCGGCGCCCCCGGAGGGGGTGCCGGAGCTAGTGAAGGGGCCCTGGGACACACAAATAAATACACACAAATAAGATGATTCCCCATCGTTTCCCATGTTTTCTTGGTTATTGTCTTCGCCCCCACTTCCCGACCTAGTGCCGGCACCCCCTCGGGGGTGCTGGCACCAGGTCGGGCAGACATGGTCAGAGATACAGTCGAGGCGTTGACCTAAGGAACCCTAAATAAGGAACGAGGCCCCTTTTTTCCAGAAGTTCAACTTCGATTTCGCATCTAAAACCTCGGGAAAACCCGAGGCAAACTTTGAAACAATCAAGGAACACCGAGCCCCTCCGCAACAAAAAGGGTTCCTTCCTCAGCGCCCCGACTGTAGGCAGAAGAGCCCGAGAAGTCGTCGCCAGACGATTGTTCTTGTGAGAGGGCCGTGGAGCCGACTGGAGCCCAGCGTCGTCTCCGCTCGCGCCTTCTGACGTGTCGGCTGGACCGGCAGTGATGCCGCCGAAGAGTTGGGGGTGGGGGTGCAGCCGCTGCTGCCGCGCCACGCAGCCTGATGGTCTCCGCGGGGCAGAGGAGAAGGAGGAGGAGGAGGAGGAGGAGGAGGAGGAGAAGGAGGAGGAGGAGGAGGAGGGGGAGGATCAGTAGGAGCGGGCTCTGTGCTCTGGGGCTTCCGCCGCCTCTTCCAGGTAGTCCGCGAGCGCGTGGAACGAGGCTGGCCACCGCAGCGCGGAAACGGCCGCCTCCGCACGGACTCGGCCGCGCGCAGGAGTGGCCCCAGGCAAGGGGTCAGCCTTGGTGCGCGGCGTGCCGATCGTTGCGCGCGACACGGCGCCAGCGGCCTGACCAGAATTTCGGGTCGAACCCAACCGTGGCGACGAGGCCCTCACGAGAGCCAAGAAAACGAACTTGAAATAAGGGTACGTCGAAGAAACACAAAACCGCCATGAACATGAACTTTTGGCGCTCCGCGCGGCTCTCTTGGATCTGCGGAGCGCGCCAGGGCCGGCGCCGGAGGCACCGCCGGGGGGTGCCCAGCGCGGATCCAAGACATCCGCGCGGAGCGCCAAAAGCTTCTGTTTCTGGCGTCTTTCCTTCTCCGAAAGGGTCAGCCATCGGGGCGCGGCGTGCCGATCGTTGCGCGCGGCGCGGCGCGCGCGGACTGTGCGCCTGGCCATGTGTCTTCCCCCACCCGCGCGCCCCACGAGAGCCGCGCACAGAAGCGGCCCTCCCGCGGAGGGCCACCCCGGCGCGTGGCCGGCTGGTACACGTCTATGAAGTTGTGGGAGACCGCCACCGTGTCCTCCAGGTTGGCCACGCTGTGCGGCACTCCGCCGGGCACGATCACCATCTCGCCCTCGCAGACGTCGACCTCGACGGGCACGCAGCCGCCCCGGGCGCAGTCGTTCACCCCAGCGGCAGCCTCGAACACCTGCTCGAAGGCGATCTGGCGACGGTACAGGTTGTCGCCATCTGGGTCGACATGGACCTCCATGTGGATGATGTCCCGCCTTCCCATCCAGCGCAACTGGTCGGCGTCGCCGAGAGGCCGAAAGCTCCATCTCTTCCGGCCCTTCAGCACTACCTGACGGCCCGGACAATGTCATCCACGACGCTTCCTCGTCTCCCTTCGCCACATCCTGGTGCTCCTTCCCCCTGTGTTCCTTCCCCCTCTATCTTTCCCCTCTGCCTCTTTTTCCTGCCCTTCCTCCTCCTCCTCCTCCTCCTCCTCCTCCTCCTCTGCATTCTCGTCTCCCACCTCGTGCACTGCATCCTCCTCCTCTCTTCCTCCTCCTCCTCCTCCGAATATGTTGAGGAGGAGGAGGAGGAGGAGGAGGAGGAGGAGGAGAAGGAAGAGGATGAGGAGGAGAAGGAGGAGAGCGAGGAGGAAGATACGGAGAAGAATAAGGATAGAGATGGAAGAGGAGAGGAGGAAAATGACGGAGAGGAGGCTGGGTGTTTTGCGGGGGAAGATGGGGATGCGTGCCACCCCCGGAAACAAGCCCTTTTCACAGTGCGCCGTCGTCCAGGGTGCGCCTGCACGAACTGGCTGTGCATGGCATCCACGTGCACGCCGCAGTGGGAGCCAGCCGGCTGGACGAAGAGGCTCGGGTGGTCCCAAAAAGGATCCTCCTCCGGCGCAGCAACTACACTCCGCCTCCCCCTGCTCCTTCTGCTCCTCCTCGAACATTTAAGAGTGACACGTTTTCCATCGACGTTCGGCCTCGTGGGGTGCCCCGCAGGTCCTGTCGCGGCCATCTGGGCATCACAGAGGGCACCTGATTGCCCGTCCGCTTCTTGCTTGATGCGCACGATTTGCCGCCTCCCCTGGCGCAGCACATGCTGTTGTGCGGCGCGGGCCCGGGGCATTTCGGCTTGTCCTTCGGGACTCGGTGTGAATCCCGACTCGGTGTTTGACGGCTCTGAATGCAAAAAGGCGGCCCCTGGATGGGCGAACCCTTAAGACAACCTGCCGTCCCCATGCTGGGCGACGCCCAGATCTGAGGGCTCGAGGTCCACGACGACAAGTATAAGTCCCGACAGCCGAACAGCTGCACGACAGCCGAGGACGTTCTCAAAATAGCCACTGAAGGGCCCCAGGGACACAACACCCCAAAGCACCGCCGAATCAGGCAGACTTAGGCGACGGAGGCAGAGGAGACCGAGGCTTATGTTGTACGCTGGCGAAATGCCGAATGAGTATCGCCTCCCAGGGCCCGGCACGTGAAAACCCTTCAATTTCGATGTTCCCTTGGTGCTCGATTTTTGGATGGCGCACAAGGCTAAAAGTCCGCCGATCCGGCGTGTGAGTTTCTGAGAGCGTGGGCTTGAGCTCGCTCAGGTTTCGCTCTGCGGGGGGGGGGGGATGCCATGGCTGACGCCGTTCAGGCTAGGAAAAGGGAAGGGGGGCGGGGAGCTCGCTCAAGCTTCGCTCTGTCGGGGGGGGGGCTGACGCCATAGCTGACGTCATTCAAGCCCGAGAGGGGGGAGAGGACGGGGGGGGGACGCCATGGCTGACACCATTCAGGCCCGGGAGGAGGGAATCGGGGGGGGGGGGCGGCTGACGCCATGGCTGATGCCATTCAGGCCCGGGTGACGCCATTCAGGCCTGGGAGGGAGTGGGGCGTGTGGGAAACAGCTTTTTGCTTGGATCTTGTCAATCCCTGCAAAATGTTCCGATGTCGTCTTCTCGATTACCCCTGAAAGTAAACTCCGGGAGGAAAACTTAGGGGGTCCCACCGAAGCCATGGCAAGGAAGGAATGTTCCGCTAAACGGATAAGTGAGATACGTGTGGTAGGGAGGAGGCCGGCCGGCCGACAACACGACAACGATGAGGGCACGACCCCACGCGCGCGCGACAGCCAGCTCGCTCCTCTATCATATACCTCTCGAATCTGAGTGGCTGCAGACGACCAGCCAGTACAACAGCAATGATGGCAAGGGCAACAGGATGGTGGTGCGGAGAGGAGCGTATTAACTGGGACGCCATGGCTGACGCCATTCAGGCCCCGGAGGAGGGAGTCGGGGGAGGGGGGAGGGGGGGGGGGGGGCTGACGCCATGGCTGGCGACATTCAGGCCCGGGAGGTGGGAAGGGGGGGGAGCTCGCTCAAGCTTCGCTCCGTTCGGGGCGGGAGGGGGCTGACGCCATAGCTGACGCCATTCAGGCCCAGGAGGGGGGAGGGAGGGGGAGGGGGTGACGCCATTCAGGTCCGGGAAAGGGGGGGGGGGCTGGGAACTCGCTCAAGCCTCGCTCGCTCTGTCGGGGGGAGGGGGGGGGGCTGACGCCATTCAGGCCAGGGACGGAAGGAAGGGGGGGGACGCCATGGCTGAAGCCGTTCAGGCCCAGGAGGGGGGAGAGGGGGGGGGCACTGAAGCCATGGCTGACGCAGGCCGGGGAGCTCGCTCAAGCTTCGCTCCGTCGGGGCGGGAGGGGGCTGACGCCATAGCTGACGCCATTCAGGCCCAGGAGGGGGAAGGGGGGGGAGGGGGTGAGGCCATGGCTGACGCCGTTCAGGCCCGGGAGGGGGGAGTCGGGGGGAGGGGGGGAGGGCTGACGCAATGGCTGACGCCATACAGATCCGGAAGGAGGGATGGGTGGTGGAGCTCGCTCAATCTTTACTCTGTGTGTGTGTGGGGGGGTGACGCCATGGCTGACACCATTCAGGCTTGGGAGAGGAGAGGGAGGGGGGAGGGCCGACGCCATTCACGCCCGAAGAGGGCCCCAAGACGGCCTAAGAAGGGCCCAAGACGGCCCAAGAAGCCCTAAGGATGCCCCCCAAAGGCCCCCAAGAGGTCCAAACACTTCTTATAGCGCGCGCCCCAAACCCGGGAAGCCCAGGAGCGCCCCCAAAAGGTATCATACATCAACTACGTCAACATCCCATGAGTTTAACTGTTCACGCGAGATTGTCACTTTCGAATACCCGAAGGTTGCCCAAGCGAGCGCAGCATCTCTATCTTATGAGAATGTCTCTAGCGAGCGCTCTGCTTTTAGGCAGAAAAGGTCATCCGTTGCAAGCAGAATCGGTAGCACCCCAGATCGGCGGCACTAGCCGGAGGCCACTTCAATAGGTTGGAACATCGCAAGTCGAGGCGGAGGAGGAGGAGGAGGCGGCCGAATGGCCGGAGGACGAGGCGGATGAGGAGGGCGATGCGAGAGGCGCCTCTGGCCGCAAGGAAGGCAGGCCCTTCCCTCCCTCCCCTTCCTCGTGACTCCCCGAAGTACCCCTCCTGATCCTCCCCGTTTCCTCCTCCCCATCCTGACGCTCCCCCTCCACCACCTCGTCCTCGTACTCGTCCTCCTCCTCCTCCTCCTCCTCCTCCTCCTCCGCCTCCTCCTCCTCCTCCTCCACCTCCTCCCCCTCCCCATCCCCCTCCTCCTCCCACTCCTCCTCCTCCTCCTCCTCCTCCTCCTCCTCCTCCTCCTCCCCCCCTCCTCCTCATCCTCCTCCTCCTCCTCCTCCTCCTCCTCCTCCGCCTCCTCCTCCTCCTCCTCCCCCTCCTCCTCCCCCTCCTTCCCATTCCTTCCCCTCCTCCGCATTACCCCCCCCTCCTCCTCCAGGTCCTGCTGGGACTCGGGCGGGCAGGGGGCCGCCACTTGTGGAGGGGCCTCGGGCGACCAGGGACTGCGGCCTCGCGTGCCCCGGGCTGCCCGCGCCACTCTGGAGAGCCCCCGTGGGCCTCGCGAGAGGGGCTGTGGCGTCCGCGGAGGAGCCTTCCCGAAAACCCTGGGGACAACTCGGGCCAGGGACGGATTGTTGGCGGCGCGCACAAGGGGGTGGGGGGAGGGGGGAGGGCTCCGTAGAAGCAGGCTGCGTCTTAGAAGGCGCCAGCCTTACATCTATAGATAAGGCCCTCGCCTTCTAAGAAGCAGGGGTGCTTCTAAGAAGCCCTCTCTCCTCTCCCCACCCCCCTCTGCGCGTGGCTGAGATTGGCAGCACAGCTCGGGCCAGGGGTCCCGAGCTCCGACGTCTTTTACAAGGCCATCGCTGAGCGTCACAGCAGCCGCCCCCCACCCCTCGGCCCCCGCGGATCGATCCGCGGGGGCCCCGGGTGCACGAAACTGCGCGACACAGGCCGGTGAAAACAAAAGCATTGGAGCCAGCATTTCCTCCTCCTCCTCCTCCTCCTCCTCCTCCTCGTCGCCCTCCCGCTCCTTCTCCTCCTCCTCCTCGCCCTCCCGCTCCTTCTCCTCCTCCCGCTCCCGCTCCTCCTCCTCCTCCTCCTCCTCCTCCTCCTCCTCCTCCTCCTTCCCCCTCCTCCTCCTCCCATTCCTCCTCCTCCTCCTCTTCCTCCTCGTCGTCCTCCTCCTATTCCCCCGCCTCCTCCTCCTCTTCTTCCTCCACCTTCTTCAGACTCTGGCAACTTGAACTTACTTGCGTAGAGGGGGGGGGGCGGGGCGTGGTGAGGCCCCGAGGGGAAATCTGGACCCCACGCACGCACGCCCTTTTTCGGCCCAGTGCTGTCGCAAGAGGCGGCGGAAGGGGGGAAGGAACGGCGAATGCTGTGCAAGTGAACTTGCCAGAAGCTGAAATAAGACGAAGCCAGGATGGGGATAAACTCGGGTGAGGATGAATCGAGAATCTCTGAGATCCGGCGGCTCTGGAGGACGTATCGGGCGTCGCGGCCATCTCAGAGCGTTCCAGAATGCTCCTGGAGCGTTCCGGAACGCTCTAGAACGGGTTTATCCTCGCCCTAGCTCCGTCCGACGAAACATAAGACGCTCTCCTGTGTGTCCAGGATCTCAGGGGGAGCGGTGCAGGGGGGGTGGGGCTGCACCCACCATGCCACCCCAATCGGGAACCTTCGGGCAGGGTTGGGGCGGTCTGGCAAGTACAGCTGGACCTGGGGCAGAAGACAATCCTCTAAGAACATGAGACCTCAACCGGCCAAGCTGGAGAACATTCGAGGGCAACCTCCCCCCAGGATGCACAAGAACACCCAACAAGCACGAAGAACACCAGGGTACCCTCCCCGAACCGACCTCGATCTTCTACCTCGGTCCGACCGCAGTGAGGGTTGGGGCGCGCTCCCTTGCCCTCGAAAACTGAGGGAACCCTTAAGATCGGTATCGAGACGAGGCGTTGCCACTCACAGGGATAGGGATATGTTCCAGGCTGGTGATAACAAAAATCACGCAATGAAAAAAAATCTGTTGGCGCTCCGCGCGGATTTCTTGGATCTGCGCTGGACTCCCCTCCCTGGCGCGCGGAGCGCACCAGGGGCTTGCGCCGGAGGCGCCGCCGGGGGGGCCCAGGCGCGGATCCAAGACATGCGTGCGGAGCGCCAACATTGTCTTTGGCGTTTGTTCTTCTTCGAGTACGGTGTGGGTATTGGACAGGGAGTCCTTAGATATGTAAGGAAAACAGGGTCTGGAAGCCAGTGGAACTCCAATCGTGGATCGGCCATGGATAGCACTCCCCCAGGGTCTACAGCCCCTCGGGCAAATTCCTTGACGAAAGCCCCCCACCGTAATGGTCCTCGGGCAGCGAGGCGTACGGGGAGCGCCGGATCAGGTCGCAGTCCCGCAGCAGGCGCGGCCACTCCAGGGCGGCACGGGGGGGGCACACCCGCTCCCGCCGCAGAGCCGCGGGGGCGCAGCACTCTTCGCGAGCGAAGGGAGGAGGGAGCGGTCGTGAAGGGAGCGGTCGGGAAGGAGGAGGAGGAGGAGGAGGAGGAGGAGGAGGAGGACAAGGGTGAGCGGTCGGGAAGGGAGGAGGGAGGAGAAGCGTCCCGAACTCTCGCTCGTAATGTCGCGCGGAGTGGGGACAGGGGCCTGCTGCCACAAGGGCTCATCTTTTGGGCCCACGTATGGTGGGCTTGTTTTCCACCGCCACCTCCATAAGTAGAAGGGGGATGGGTCCTCCTCCTCCTCCTCCTCCTCTTCTTCGTCCTCCTCCTCCTCCGCCTCCTCCTCCTGCTCCTCCTCGTCCTCCTCCTCTTCCTCACCCTCCTCCTCCTCTTCGTCGTCGTCCTCCTCCTCCTCCTCCTCCTCCTTCTTCCCCCCTCCAACTTATGGTGGTGGTGGAAGCAGGCTAATCAACGGAGTCAACGGAATCACCTTCTTCTCATGCGCCACATGCTGCATGGGGGATCTGGTCATGGTGGCAGGTCATCGCTCTGAGAGCTGACTCTCGTCTCGCTGGTGGGGCCTCGTCCTCCCTGGGAGCCGCCTCCGAGACCTCGCAAGGAGGAGCCCCACCGACGGTCCTGGCAAGGCGATCCCCCCACGCCATGCCCTCATGAAGACGAAGCCAGGACGAAACAAACATCGGATGAGGACGCATCGAGAATCTCTGAGATCTGGCGGCTCTCGGGCCTGTCTCGGGCGCCGCGGCCCCTTCAAAGTGTTCGGAACGCTCTGGGAGCGTTCTGGAACGCTCTGGGAAGGATCTATCCTGGTGCTAGCCCCGTCCGGCGTGTGCTTCGTCCCCGCTGCTCTCCTGGGGGAACAGAACAACTGCCGATACGGCTACTCGAGGTCGAGTGGGAGGAGGTGGAAGAGGAGGAGGAGGACGATAAGGCCGAGAGGGAGAAGGAGGTCGAGGAAGGGAAAGGAGGAGGGGGAGAATGAGGAGGAGGAGGAGGAGGAGGAGGAGGAGGAGGCCTGGACCTCTCAGGGGATGCGTTCTGACCAGAAGCGAGTCTCCAGCCTTGGTGGCGATCAGCCTCCCAGGAGGCCCAACAAAAAACGAAATCCAGGGGAGGCCTCCACCAAGACCCCGTGACCATCTTTTCGTCCTGTGTCGTTCCTTTGGCGGTCCTGGAATGCAGTCGGACCCAGGCCAGAAGAACATCCTTCAAGAACGTGAGACCCTCCGTCGGCCAAAAGAAACGGGACATCCAAGGGTGCCCACCCCAGGATGCACGAGAACATCCAACAAACACCAAAAACATTCGGATACCCTCCCCGAACCGACCTCGATCTTATACCTCGGCCCGATTGTAAGGGACAACTCCCGTCACGTTCTTGTTCACGACGCGGGGTGTCTGGGCCCCGCTCATCCTGCACAAGAACCCAGAATCGAACCGATAAGTCGGATCGGCGATCGAAGTGAATCGGATCGGCAGAGATCGACAGCCGAGTCGGCGCGGAAACCGGCAGGCCCCAGTGGGCCTCCAGTGAGACATCGGCGTGCACATCGGAAGCCGAAGCCGGACCGCATCGGCATCGGAAGCCAGCGAACTCTCGCCACGAATCGAACCGGAGGCACCGACACGAGCCCCGGATAGGGGTCGGGGCCCCGCTCCCCCCCCCGCTGCTGCCGCCCGAGCGCGTGCGGCGAGCGTGGGGGCCCCCCGAAGGAGTGCGGGGCAGGCGCTGGCCAGGGGCTCGTCGAAGACCACCGCGCCGCGGTCTCCCGCCGCCCACCGGCCTACGAGGTCTCCGAGGCTGGTCGGTGACCCTCCGAAGGTGTCTTGGCGCCGACGTTGGGAGGCAACTGTTGGGAGGTCTTCATCGGGAGGATCAAGGAGGATTCAGCCCCAGTGGGGCGCCGTTACGCCGGATTGGGCCTCGACTTAAGCGGGCATTGAGCTTGATCAGGCGGGATCAAGCCGGATTAAGCGGGCTCAAGCGGGATTAAACCAGATTGAGCCGGATTTCGGACCAGGGCGAAATCAGAATTTGACCTCCCAGGAGCTGCCTCCGAACCAGCGTGTGCTGGTCCACCGAGGCGCTTCACTGCGACGCAGGCGCTGCAGCGAGGGCCGGCACGGGCTGCGCGCCATCGTCGGAGCCGACCGAGGCAACCCACACACACAGAGGACTGGGCCAAGCCACGTCCTGAGGATCCTCGAGCTGGTGCTGGCGCACGGGCGCATCCCCGCCCACAGCCCGCAGGACGCGTCGTGGCGCTGCGTCTGGACCTGGCCGCCGCCGCACCTCGCCGCCAGCTCCTGCTGGCGCCGCGCACAAGGGGGTAATTATGGGGAGGGGGAAGGCTTCTTAGAGGGAGGTTGCTTCGTGGAAGGCGCCCTGACCTTGCATCTACGGGTAGGGACCGCGCCTTCTCAGAAGCAGAGGTGCTTCTAAAGACTCCTTCCCCCCTCCCCCATACAGTCGAGGCGTTGACCTAAGGAACCCTAAATAAGGAACGAGGCCCCCTTTTCCCATAAGTTTAACCTCGATTTCCGATGGAAAACCAAAGAAAACCCGAGGCAGACTGTGAAACAATCCAGGAACACCGAGCCCCTCCCCAACGAAAATGATTCCTTCTTCAGCGCCCCGACAATGCCCCCCTCTGCGCGTGGCCGATCCTGGAGATCCCAGCCCAGCCGCTGCGCGGCCGCGCTCGCGACGACCACGGGCGTCCTGCGCGCGGAGTAGCGCCGCCCAAAGTCGCCCGCGGAGAGCTCCCGCAGGCGCGGGACGCCCTCGAAGAGGCGCGCCGGCGGCCCTCCGGCGGGCCGCGCCGCCGCCCGGTGGAGCTCGACGTGGCGCCGCGCCGCGGCGAAGCGCTTGCCGGCCTCGGCGTCGCCGCTGCCCCGCGCCAGGGCCTCGCCCTGCCTCGCGTGCGCGAGGGCGGCGTCCAGGTCGCGCTGGTGCGGCTCGAGGGCCCGCACCACCGCCTGCATGGCTCTGGCTGGGACCATGAGCGTCCCCAAACACGATCGCGTCGTTAGAAAATCAGGACCGAAGGGTTCTTGGCCAATGTCGGCCCCTGGGACCGCCAACAAAACGACTCAGGATGAAAACCCGGCCCCGGGGAAGGGATCCAGACCCCTGGGGGTCGACATTGTGAACAAATCACGACGTCGGGGGTCTGGGTTCTAGCTGCGACCATGAACAGCAGCAACACCCCTACGCTCCACAGCGTGACTCTGCCTCCTACTCTTACAGTGCCTAATCCGACCTCCACCTTGCGGCCATCGAGCTCGCACTGGCATCGGACCGAGCCGGCCAGGGTGGATGTCGAACCGAATGGGTCGGATCGACCTGGGCCGTTCTGGAATCGAATCGACATGGGCCGCTCTCGAAGCCCTGGATCCACAAATGCCGACATCTCTTGGGGTCGCGATTTCTCCTTCCGCCGGCTCCCCTCCGCCGGCTGAGCGCCGCCCTCCTCTTTCGGCCTCCGCCGACCCTCCGCCGGCCCTCTGCTCCCCGTCCTCCCCCCGGGGAAGAGGTGCCAGCTCCGTCGCCGCACGCGAGGGCGAGGCTCTTTCTGGAAGGCCTCGGGTACGCCCCGAGCTAGGTCGGGCGTGTCCTCCTGCAGGCGGAATCTTGGACGACAAAGCAACAGATTCAACAGATGCTCAAACATAGCCACAAAAAGGGGCAGAAGAATCGTACCCTTATATACTATGTTTAGACTACTCTTGAACTGTTCCTCCTGTAGAGGGACATGCCCGACTCAGGCCCCGAGGACGGGGAGGGCCCCTGGGCCTTTGTGGGCCCTGGAAACGGCAGGGCCGTTTTTTCACCGTTTCCCAAAAAATGTTTCTTGCAAGTGGAAACGGCAAAAAAACGGCTCCAGGATCGGAACCGGAGCCGGAACAGGTCAAACAACGGCGACGGAACCGGGAAAAAGACGGCGTCGGAACCGGCAGAAAAACGGCAAAACGGAACTGGTAAAAAAGCGGCCCTGTCGTTTCCAGGGCCCACTAAGAGTCTTCCTATGTTTAGACTAATCTTGAACTGTTCCTCCTGTAGAGGGACATGGCCTCCCGGAGGGCCCCTGGGCCGCCGCCTGCTCCAGCGCGGCCGCTCGCCCCTGGGGCCCGGCGGCGCGCCCGCGGGGCCCGCACAGCTCCTCGAGGGCCGCCCGCGCGGCCCCGCGCAGCGCGCGCGACTCCGCGTGCAGGCCCGCCGCGCGGAAGCCCGTGGCGGCGCAGCCCACCGCCGACGTCTCCATCTCGGCCCCCCGTCGGCGCTACAGCCCCCGACCCCGCCGGCGGGAGCTCTCTAACCAGCCTCGAACGTATCCCTATCCCTAAGATGGGCGAGCAAAAAGCGAGGACTACCTTAGGGGGCGGCCGAAGATTACCAGCCTCGAATGTATCCCTATCCCTAAGATTGACACGCCAAAAGGCGAGAACAATCTGAGGGATTCGCCCTCAAAAAATAAGGGAATCCCTAAGACTGGCATCGTGACGAGGAGATGCCCAGCATAGGGATAGGGATATGTTCCAGGCTGGTAAGAAGAGGGTGGCGTCCAAGGGTGGGGGCGCAAGTCATGGCCGGCGGCACGTGCGCGGCCCAGCGGGGGGGGGCCAGGATCGCAATGGAATAAGGAGAGGCGCCATGCAATCCGAGGAACTGTCGTGGCTCACGCCATGGTGTCCCCCCCCCCTAGTCATCACCCCCCTCTTTGCCGCCCCCGAAGTTCGGAGGCAACTGCTGGCAGGTCTCCGCCGGATGGGTTACACGGAGGATGAAACCCCACTGAAGGCCGTTGCGTCGGAGTGGGCCCCGGACGACGCGGGACCAAGTCGGACAAAGCGGGACAAAACGGGATTGAGCCTTGATTGGGCGGAATGAAGCCGGATCAAGGCGCAGGGCAAGATCAGGAATGGCAGCCGAGTCAATCAAGGCACAGGGCATGATTGAGCCGAATACGAGATTGAAGCCGATTCATTCATGAGCCAAACTCATGCCTTGATTGAGGATTGAGCCGGATTAAGGCGCAGGGCAATATCATAATGCGACATCCCAGGAATTGCAGCCGAACGGGAGCTCCCCGAGAAGCGCCCGCGCGCGACACGGAGGAGGCAGGCCGCGCCTCTCGGGGACGACATCGGGCGAGGGGGTGGGCCTGGCTTGCGGGGCTGGCGGCGACCACGCGGAGGCACGGGGCCCCCGAGAAGGCGGGGGCCTCCTCCTCCTCCTCCTCCTCCTCCTCCTCCTCCTCCTCCTCCTCCCCTCCTCCCCCTCCTCCCCCTCCTCCTCCTCCTCCTGCTCCTGCTCCTCCTCCTCCTCCTCGTCCTCGTCCTCCTCCTCCTCCTCCTCCGCGCGCTGGAGGTCCCCCCCACCGCCTTGCAGAAGGGCGGTTCCCTTTCGCCACGCGCCTCTTGGCGCGGCGCCACGGTGCGCAGGGCGCTCCTACCCTGCACCTCCCTGCCTGGCCAGGGCCATCCACGGCCCTGCCATGGTGCATACGGCCCTCATGGCCGAGCCAGGCACGGCGGGCGGGTAAACGGTGGGTTCACGTCGCGATGGCATTTGCACTCGTGTATGACGCCGCTTGGATCGTGCATCCTTATACGATCACGGCCTGTCGATGACGCAGATCGCTCGTCGCTGCCCGACTCCGGGCAACCGGCGATGCTCAGCCCTCAGCGCGGCGCGAAACCACCGCAGATGCATGCGCGGCTCCAGAGGTCCTGACCCCTCCCCCCGCGCGGAGCATGCCTGCTGCTCCGGATTAATCTCTGATGGCCCCCGGGGCCCTACGATCACAGGCCCCAGAAGCCGAAACCGAGGATCAACGATAGGCTGCAGAGTGAAGAAGAACACACACACACCCACACACACACATTCCTGAGTCGGCAGGCGCAGGGCGTCCCCCAGCGCCAGCAGCCAGAGGAAGTGCGAACTGCGGTCGAACACTGTCGAAGGCGAAGCAGAACACACACACACACATATATATATATATATATAAGCGCAAGCACAAGCACAAGCACAAGCACAAGCACAAGCACAAGCACAAGCACAAGCAGACACACACACACACACACACCGTCGGATATCTGGTTCGGCGGACAGTCAGGGAGACGAGACGTACGACTCGGGGTCGAAGGTCTCGGGTTGGCCTGGGGAGGCCGTCAAAACAAATGAGGAGACCCAATCAGAAATTTGACGCGAACTCTCGCTGCAGACATCCCCCGAAAACTGGACCGTCAAAATCCAGGACAGGCCCAGGAAGAAACGTCGGCAAACCCGAGTTCTGGCGAGCTCGAGTCTCACGTGTCCCCGGCCATCGTCGCATACCTGGGCCGGCGGACAAGAAGGGACCGAGGTGAACCCGTCCACATCACGTCCGCGATTCCTTGCGCGTCCGCCGGCCCGCCGGGGCCAGCCAGCGCCTGCAGCAGTGGGTGCGCTCTGCTCAGCCGCGGGTCCTCCAGGGCACGCTGGACGGCATCGGCGAGGCGGCGCATGGTACCCTGCACGGCTTCTCTCCGGCGAGACGCACGGACCACCGCCACCGAGAAGCCGTCGTGGGGGGGACAGACCCTGGGCGGCGGCACGCCCGAGCGTCGTGCTGTGCTTCCGGGGACGCTGCGGCTTGCCACTGCCCAGGAGTCGGCCCCCTGCTGATGGGTTCTAGGTGGCGGCGGTCCACGCTCCTCCCCCCTGATTCTCGGGTCGGGCTCAGGCGCGGGCTCGAGTAATCTACAGCTGCAGCAAGGCGTGCTCAAAGACTGGCCACTCGAGCGTCCGACGGCGAATCTTTCGAAGCGTACGCGCTGGCACATCTCTCGCAGGAGCTTTTGGAGTCACTCGCAGGTGCAACCAGTGCTTCGAGCATAGCGCTGCAACATCCCATGCTTGAACAAGAGGTTGCCACTTCAATTCACGCAATTAGCTGTTTTTTGTTGTCTGGCGCCTTCCCAGGCCAGAGGCGCCCATGCCAGAGGCGCCCTTGCGTCCAGGAAGGCGCCCGGCAGTGGGGACGAAACCGGCTGCCTGCAGCAGTTTTTGTGCCCCCCCTGCCCGCAGCTCAGGTTACGCTCGAGGAGCTCTGGAGTATCTAGCGGCCTGCGCTTCTGCAGCCCTTGTTGAGCATCAGGAGGACTAGGAAACCCCAGATATCCAGGAAATGCTGGAACGTATCATTATCATAATTTCTTGCTCCTCTGATATCGACCCCCTTTCGTCTGAGCCGACCTTCGGCGAGGGCAGCCTGGGCACGGTGGGTCGTATCGGCCAGGCGGGTCCGCTAGGACACGCTGGGGGCACGATGGGCGGCACCGGGCGGGTGCACCTGGGAACCGGTTTTTCGAGGGATCGGAGCAGCGAGAGCAGCGCCATCGTCAAGCCACTGTGTAAGCTACCTCGAACGTAGCGCACATGACCTCGAGAGGCCGAACAGAGCCAAAACAGTCCGTCATGAACTTTTTACGACGCGAGGAAATGATTAGGCTTATGCCAGGCGTGTCCCCCTACAGGGAGATTTTCGACGGAAGAAAAAATACCCCCAGAAATGCACCAAAAAGGTCAACAAATACTCTAACAATAGTCCCTCGACTATGTTTGGACTATTTTTTGTTATCATTTTCGGGGTATTTCTTATTTTTCGTCGAAAACCCCCCTGTAGGGGACAGGCCCGACCTATGATTGGGCTCGCGGGGCGCGGCTCTCGCCCATCGTGTCCTCCTCCGACGGAGCTCGCGTCGACGACGACGACGAAGACGACGACCTCGACTCCGCATCTCGCTCTTTGTCCTCCTCGTCCTCCTCCGACTCGGCTGAGGCTGAGGCTGACGCAGGCTGAGGCCGAGGCAGGCTGAGGCTGAGGCTGAGGCAGGCTGAGGCTGAGGCAGGCTGAGACTGAGGCTGAGGCAGGCTGAGGCTGACACTGAGGCTGATGCAGGCTGAGGCTGAGAGGCTGACACTGAGGCTGAGGCAGGCTGAGGCTGAGGCTGAGGAGAGAGCGACCGCGGCCACCACAACGGCATATATAGATCCGATGGCCGGTTCCCAACACGGGCCCCTCAGAAGCCCCAGCCCTTTTCCCAGGGCAAACTGGTTTGATCCCGAGCCGCTTCCTGAGGGTTCCCGGGGCTGGACACCAGCCCCCGGGCTCCGAGAACGGCGCACAACAGAACCGTCTGGTTTGTTTCTTTCCAGTGCTCTGGAGGTCGGGGTTGGCGGCACGCGCGATACCATGGCGCGAGGGGGGGAGGCCCTCGCAGAAGGCGGGGGGGGAGCTCCTAGAAGGCCAGGGGACTTGCTAACATCGGGATCCACCAAAGGGGGGGTGAGCCTGAGGGGGAGCATGAGTTCGATCCGCTGGTGCACCGAGCTGCCGCAAACAGTTGCCCCCCCGCATGCCCCACCCATCTGCAACTATCGGGAGCTGCCGGCGGCTGGGGGGCATCTGTTTGGGGCGGTTCGATGCAGTGGCCGATCGAACTCACACAGACCCCTGGGGCACACCCCCCCTTTGCGGGATCCCGATAGAAGTGCCTGAGAACTTACGAGGTAGCTTTAAGTCGGGCCTGTCCCCCATACAGGGGGATTTTCGACAAGAGATTAAAAGATACCCAAAACATGCTCCAAAAAATAATATGGGGATCATTTTTTGAGTATGGTTTGACCTTTTTGGTGCATTTTTTGTGTATTTCTATTTTTCGTCGAAAATCCCGAAAATCCCCCCGTAGGGGGGCGCGCCCGACCTAAAGGTAGCTGCTCAAGCGCCGAGCGCGCTCCCGAGGAGACCTCGCACTGCCGCCCGCGAGAGCGCCCCGCCGTCGCAGGCGGCCGCCACCCTCGCTCCGCTCCCCTAGTGCGCCCCGCCCGGCCCTCTGCCCACGAGGGACGGGCTTCCTGGGCTCTCCCCTAAAACAGGGCTAGGATCGGGATAAGTCGCTCCAGAGCGTTGCGGAGCGCTCTCAGAGCGTTCCGGAACGCTCTGGAGCGGCGGCGGCGTCCAATACATCCTCCAAACCCGCCGATTCTCAGAGATTTCGAGTTATCCCGATCCGATTTTGTCCCGATCTTCGCGTCGTTTTATCCCCCCCTGCCAGGAGGAGAAGTGGGCGGCGAGCAATGGGGGGGGAATGAAAAGGAGAAGGTCTTCTCAGCAGGCGGCGGGACTTCTCCGAAGCCCCCTCGGGCCTTCTGAGGAGTTCTCTGCGTCTTCGGGGAAAGCTCAGAAGACTTCCCAGAAGGCTGGGGGGGCCTCCGAGC